TCAAAGTTCAGGAGGTTTTGTCGGTTAGCAATTGCTCTCTCACTTCCAATGAGAGATGAGTTGGGCATCTCTTTATCTCTGCAATTGCTAAATAACTGTACCGTAATAAAAGTTTCAATTACATTTTGAATCAGAGATAAAGATATGACCAACTCTCCTGTCACTGGAAATGTGTAAACCGCTCACCTAACAAAGTTTGACAGTTGACTGGATCTGGTAGGGTTTGACGTTTTGCAAATGGAATGACTGGAACGGCCAAATCGAATTTTACCGAAATATTTGTGAACGGAGAGATTTGTTGCCGTCTTTCAAAACCGCTAATAAAAAATTTAGAACAATGAAAACTAAAGAAATTTAAATATATTTCATGAAACGTTCTGCAATGCGATACATACTAATATTAGTTTTCAATTACCAATGATGAAACACTGACACTTTATTAAGTATTGAAAGTTCAAAAGTAAGTTGTTTTAATATACCATAAAATCATAAAAAAAGATATAAATAGTTTTGCTATATATTAGAAGTCCAATACAAAATAATTTTTAATTGCAATAAATATTGGATTAAATTTAAATGACAAAAAATCATTATTTCGTCCGATCTGACTACAACAGAAAATGATATTAAAAACTTTTACTTTGAGGCGCTCTCACACTGAGCATTCCTTTATCCCTGGTTTGAATTATACACGCCTATAAAACATGAAAATAAAACCTTGCTTGTAACACCTGCTCTAAGTCTATCTTTCAAAGCAATAAAATGGTAGCTAGTGATATTTAAGAAATGGCTTATGGTGGACTACCAAGCTGCTTACCCCGTATCTCAACAATCTAAAGATTATGGCATACTAACTGTCAAGCCTATTGCCATTGCCGATTCCAAGTCTCCCACATATATACAGTTTGTTATCATAACATAATATCGGTATTCTATTGCTCTTGCAAGATTGCAGATTGCAAAAATGTTATACCGAAATATACAACTGCACGAGAGCACCAATTGCATAATTTAGTGATATATGAACGGCTGATTCGGTTTACATTCTTCAATAATTTATCGACAAAACATGTCTTTATGTAAAATGACAGCGAACACAGGGTTGCAATTATATTTTTAGGTGTCATTGCACGAAAATAAACATGGGTTTTGGTCTGACATATTTTACAGCCCTTGCAAATATTTTTCTGCGTGTGTTTGTTGTTGTGCCGTTGCATAAGGTGGAAAAATCTGCAATTCGTGAACAGTGCAAGGGTTTTGCAAGAGCAAGAGAATACACCTCATCATTTGCGTAAAAGCATCGGGAAGGAAGGTTCGAGCCGATGTAGGGCATGTTTTGAGCTCTTGAATTGTTTAAATTTTTATTTGGAAGAAAAAAGTTTAAATGGAAAATATAAAAGGAGAAATAAACTTTTTTCTACAAATGTATATCTTGAACAAAAATAAAAGATTTCATATTTTCGGACTATAATAATTGTAGAATAAATTTTATATAATATACCAATTAACATAATAAATTTAATATGAGTAATGATATTTTGATTTCTGTTGGTATACGTTTATTAAATTGAAGACTTCATACGCCCATCCATTTTGCACAATTTTTCTGCAAATCTACAACATTAAACTAAATATTAATTTTTTTTTAAATGTATTAAATTATTTTAAAAATGTACTGTAATGTAATGTAATACTGCCATTATTTAGAGAAGTACATAAACATGAATGAAAATAAACATGTCGATAACGATTATTAAATTTTCTAAAGGCTTGTAAAGAACCATAATTACCAATAAGTATAGTTTAAAAAACTAAAAAAAAACGCTTTTTCAGCACATCAAACTAAAATGTAAAAAATAGTTCTTTGCATAAGCTAACAATAATAATGAAGCAAAAATTCGTGTATTATTGTGAAAATAGCGTGGGATACTCGATATACATACATATGAAAAATATGTCACAAAACACCCCACGCTTTTCTTACAATAACAGACGAAATTTTGGTTCATAATTATTGTAAGCTTATGCTTAGAACAAGTTTTCACTTTCTAGTTTGGTGGGAGAAACCCCTAATTAATTAAAATATTGTATTGTTAATTAAATCGATAATAAGGCAGTATTTAATCTTTATTCCTCAACATCGCATATATCGAGCGTGTTTTGTGAGAGCTTAAAGCCCATCGTCAACAAACTGATTAGATTTTGGCTTTTGATCTGGTAAATCAAAAAACGACCGTATCCTCACCATGCGCCAAATCTTAGAGAAGACCGGTGAGAAGAGAATCGAAATACACCACCTCTTCGTTGATTTCACAGCTACTTTTGACAGCAGCATTACGGCTGTGTAAACTGACGTTGAGCAATAAAAAAGCTCCGTCAGGATCGGGAAGACCACTCCGAGCCGTTCAATACCAAACGAGGTTTCAGACAAAGCGACTCCCTTTCGGGTGACTTCTTCATTCTACTCTTGGAGAAAATAATTTGAGCTGCAGATCTAAATAGAGAAGGTACCATCTTACCGATTGGTCATTGGTCTCAACAACCGCACAGTTATATTTGCTTTCTGCAGAATGGATAAGGAAGCAAAGCAAATAGATCTGGTAGTGAACTAGATCAAGACAAAATATCTCCTGTCACCAAACAAACAATCGTTGCACTCTTGACTTGGCTCCTACGTCATTGTTGACAGTCATAAGATCGAAGTCGTAGATAATTTCGTCTATCTTGGAATCAGTATTAACAGCCACAACAACGTCAGCTCGTTCCAAATGGTATTACTTCGGAATGAGTAGGCAATTGAGAACTAAAGTCCACTCTCGACGAACAAAGACCAAACCCTATAAGTCACTCACAATTCCCGTCCTGCTAAATGGTGCAGAGGCATGGCCGATGACAATATCTGGTAAGTCGACGTTGCGAATTTTCGAAAGAAAAGTTCTACGAAAGATTTATGGTCCTTTGCGAGGCTACGCTGGCTAGGTCATGTCGCCCAAATGGACGAAAACACTCTAGCTCTGAAAGTATTCGACGCAGTACCCGCCGGAGTATATACATTAATGTTATTAGAGAGCGGAGCCACACCCGCTTTTCCAAAAATTTTTGCCTATAGGTGCGCTCGCTATTGCAATCCTCTGTGTGAAATTACAGATTACAAATTATTAATTAATTGCTTCGTTATGACACTTTATAAATTTTGGGCGAAAGACGTTTACTATATATGTATATTCAATTCTATATTTATCTCGCTTGGGTTAAGTGACACCTACAACCCTTAGGTGAACAAAAGTATTATACTCTGTAGCAACAGGTTGCAAGAGTATAAATAAAAATTATACCGCCAGGTTTGCTTTTTTTTAACCGCAGACAGGAATTCAACGTGAAAGAACTGAAAACACGCCTATGTTGGACCAGCCAAGCTTTTTTTTTAACGCGGCCGAAGGCCTCATATCCCGAAAGGAATTCTATGTAAAAAACTAATAATGGTTTATTTAATTCCTGCCTTTGGCATATTATTTCTTTTCTTTATTTCTATTGATTCTTTTGTAAAACATGTAAATAAGGTGGCACTGATTATTTATTCGGTTGCAACACTTTTGTTATTATGTGAAGAAAAAGAATAATATATATACATATATGTATATGCTCCTAATCTGAAGGACATCCTCTATCCGTACCTATCTATATCCAACCCGAAATCGGGGAATGCTATTCGAAAATTTACCCTCGGTGCAGCCGAAGTTAAGATTTTTTCTACTTTATTTTTTAATCCCGTATTTGGGATCACATTTTTTTAATTTTTTTAGTTTTTAATTCATATTCGCGTGTGTGATAAACTATTCTATATATTCAAGAATTAGAAATAAGAAAGCAGTTTTAAGTAGAATAACTGATACTTTAAATTCTAGATATTACATAGTGTTTCCCATTTCCATTAGATAGATATTTAGAATACATTTGTCAATTAAAGTTATTATAACCAAATCCGTGAATTTTCTTAATTTACTTTAATTTTCTCAATCTTTCTTACACTGCAGCGGCGTCAACACAACCAAACACTATTAAATACCAATAACAAAATATATTGCCACTAAATGATGGGACTCATCGACATATTTTTTTAACATTTCATACCAACATTTAATCGATCACCAAAAGCAAAAAAAATCATTTTATTATATATGTATGTATGTGCTTGTAAATGAATAGCCATCCTGGTAAAATGTAGCATCACTTCTCTTACTTTTTGTATGAAATCTAAATGGAAAACTTTAATTTAATCACTAAAATCTTAGTATTTTGCACATATCATTCCTCGTTTGCCACTTCTATATGATTTTCGCTGTTGTTGATATTTATCGAATTTTTCCTTGACACTGTTTTTTATTATTATTGTATTTTATAGGTATCTTTCGTTATTTTGTAGCAGCTGCCAGACATACAATATTACCTTCAGCGTGTTACTAAAAACTCTTCGATTTTTTCGACGCCCAATGAAAGAAGTCTATACATACAAAAGTATGCAACTATGAATGTTTGGATTGCCTGCATAACACAAACATACATATGTAAGTGGTTTATACATTTCTATCACTCCGTTTATTTGTTTGAATGGTGGTTCGTTACCTTTTCTCACTTTAAGGCATACACATTTGCACACACCATGGTGCTATAGAGCGATCAATGACACATAATAATATGCATACACATTTACACAGGGATAGAAAAGAAAAGGCGATGACGACTTATTTGATAATACACACGACATGGTGTTATGAATCGATCAATGACAATAAAAGCGCTTATGTCGCCTAAAAATACATACATGATTTTTCATATTTCAATATAACCTGTATAGCACAAAACAATGCTTATGGTAGCTTTTAGCGCTCATACTGTCGCTAATAAACGATGGAAATGTGTAACAACAAAGAAATTCTTGTTTTATAGGAAAAATAAAATATACAACAGTAGCGTGCTAACTAACTGCGCATTGAACTAACTTTGGTTGCAACCCGTTTTTCTTCTGACTTTTGCAAATAAAATCGTTATCCACAGTAATGTCCAAGAAGAGATTCCCAGCATACACTGAGTGCACACACTAAGACTTTTGCCGCTCGAACTGTTTTTTTCGTTGCCGAAGGCACGACGACTAAAGACCATGAGACCGGCTCGCTCGTGCTCGGATGGCACATTTTGTGTTCGTAACAGTTCGCTACTGTGCTTTTCGTCATTCCTTTTATTTTGAAATTCTTTCCATGGTTGCAATTGCTACTTCGGAGCATGCCTCGTAGTACGAAAAAAATTTCTTTCCGTAATGTCAAAGAAACAATTTATTTTCCTCATACATTTTATTTTTACAATACCATCAAGGTTTTGTGTGATTTACAATCTATTCGTATTCAGTTATTTTTAAAAAACGCATTTTTATTGGCTGATATGTTTGAAAAATTGATGACAAATTGTTGTTTTTAACACAACCTGGTATAATTGAACCATACCTTCCATAGGATACTTACAAAAGGTGACTATTTTGCTCTTTCACAACCCGTTCACGGAGTACGGACCGTGGCACAATAAAAAAACACATGCAATTGCTGCAAACGCTGGTATACGGAAATCGATGTCAATTTGCCGTAGCTACTTTTCGCAATCTTGTGCCAGCTGTCATATACATATGTACATATGTGAAAGCTGTCTTTGACTCGCCTAGCGTTAGAGAATCCTGAATCGAACAAACCATACTAAGTGTTCAGAAAAAAGGTACAAATTTGCGCTTACATGTTTTTTGACGCATGCGGAATTGTACTCCGTTTATTCTTGTTGGACAAAATATTTTTTTACCCGTCTGAAAATGTTTTACGGGTTACTAAATTATGTTTTCTATAATTTATTATAATTGATTTTAAGTTTTTTAAAACTTAGAAAAGTTCTGATTTGTCATTTGCATGCAGTAAGTATACATTATTGATATGGTAAAACCGCTTGTAAGAATTCAACTCGATTACTTTGTCGTTGCGATTTCATGTAATTTTTATGACGAGAAAGCAGCGCACAAAGATAGCGAATTGAGAAGTAGACAGGCGGCTATAAATTAAGCCCACTTATATTTCGACTTAAGTGCTGATCACATACATTCTTATGGAGACAGTTATTTAGACAGCTGCACGACTGCACAACTGCAGACTGTCAGTTGTCGCTCTCGCTAACTTTAAAATATATTTATATTTGCTGAGAGTAGAGAGGAGTAACTGTTATGTAAAATTTAAAATTATTCAAAGCTGTAACAAACCTGACGTTATTTTACAAATAAAAGCATAAAATAGCTCTGTTGTATAATTTGTAATAACAATTGATAATTTAAAACAAAGAAATCTACCTATTTACTTATTCTTTGCATAAAAAATTTCACTTTGAACAAAATGTTAAAATTTTATTGAAGTGAGAGGTATTAGTATGGCCACAACGAAATTGTGTATATGCAAAATGGGCAGCTGTATTGTCTTGTGTACATGCCGGCCATTGTTATGTCGCTGCCTTCTTACAAATTTTCATGTGAAAGGATCACGACGCCATTTACAGTTCACTGTCGTGCTGCCATGTCATGTCGCTCCCTATGTGTTCGGAGCGTTAGGGTTCCCTCAGAGTGGACGCTTAAAGCCGAGCCGAACACATTTTACCATTTACCCTCAGCTCGGCTTTGAGCGTCCACTCTGCCAGACCATCTTCAAGAACAATGCAATAAATGCAAATATATTCAGAACTTTTAATTTTAACATCTATTTTTTGCATGCAATAAGTAGGTATGTATACAAATTTTCGGAATGTAACATAAATACTTTGTAAAATTGTGAATAAGGGTAACAATTATTTAGTGAAAAATATTTTTGTGGCCTGCATAGATGAAGCGTAAACGAATTTGAGAATGTTATATGAAAGGCAATACAGAAAATCGTCTGACTCTGACTATAAGCTGCAAAAACTTTCGTGTGTAAACGCAGTTGCACTCACAAGATACATTTGTAGGTAGATATGTATGTATGTATAATTGTGTACATTACATACACTGGTATGTATTTAGTGCAGTTCTTCCATCGACATTGCCAGTTGTAAAATGCAAATTATTATATATAATATTAATAAATATTATATATATATAAATTATTGTTTTAGTAGATGGCAGTTGTTGTCGACGTAAGGGGCCGACTGCGTTTAATGAAAAATTAGTTCGTTTTAGTTTAAACGTTATAAATTTCGAATTTAATATTTCATCGGGTATATACCAATATTGGTGTGTGTTTCCAATATTGGTTCATTGTTCTTAATTTCGTATATATAGTGTTAGAATTCAATGTTAATAATATTGTACATATTGTTGCGAGCTTAAATATATTAATCCGTTTTGTGTGCTGGGTTTATTCCTTCGCTGGGGGTTATTGCCGATTAATTTTGTGTGGATTCGTATGTTGTATCCGTATTGTTTTATGTAATAATTTGAGATAATGTTCACCTCTAGATTTCAGTGTAATGTGTACTTATGTAATAATTGTTCACTTTTTATAAAAACGTTTTGCTCTCCGTATTCACTTATGTATATAAAATTGTCTCCCGGCTTCTTGTTAGCGGGATAATATACAGTTACTCACGAAACTGAGTATACACAGGAGTTCGTAAGAGAAATACACAAAGTATGGAAAATTTAGTGGATATAGAAGTCTTAATAATTCTACATAAAATAACTTTTTTCTTTAACATTAACCAAATACTTAAACAAAAAACTAAATGTATTGATAAAACTGGGTCACTAAAATGAGTATACATTGGCATTATATATGTGGCATCTCTGGATATCTTTTTACAGTTTTGTGATGACGCTAGTGTTTATACATTTTAAAGATTTTGCCGTGTATTATCGTTAGATACGCAATTTATTGTATTATTTTCTGTTAATTTACATACTAGAAAGGAGACAACTTTTGAAATAAGGGAATTTGTGATAAAATTGTGCTGTGAAGGTAAATCGTACAGGCAAATTGGTCAAATTATTGGTAGACATCATTGCACAGTCCAAAAAATTATAAATAAATGGAGATATGGAGGAATATTGAGAGGCCGAAAAAAATTTTGACTCATCCTGATGAGCGTAATATTGTACGTAAAGTGGAATTAAACCCACAGTTAAGTGTTCCTAAATTAAGGGTTGAAGTGTCAAAAACAATAAATAAGCAAATATCGACTGAAACAGTTCCTTGTGTTCTTCGCAAAAATACATAGTCGGATAGCAGGTAAAGCCATTTATCTCTAGTGTAAATAAGAAAAAACGGCTTGAATTCGCGAAGATCACGTTGATAAGCCTTTAATTTTCTGGGAAAGTGTAATGTTCACTGACAAAACAAAGATTAACATTTGGGGATCTGATGGACGACAAATTGTATGGAGAAAGCCGAAAACGGAACAACATGACCAAGGAGATTCATTGGAATATACTGAAGTTCAATTTATGTGCAAGTACGCAAAAAATTAAGCTCCCGTCCATGTTTTGGTTCCAACAAGACAACGATCCGAAGCACATAATGCTCCAAAAGAGCTTAAGTCCTTCCACAGTAACCTAATATGAACCCAATAGGTTACTTATGGGAGAACTGAAATCTGAGCTGAAAAAATCCAGTCCCCGTACCATAGAAGAACTAAAAAATGATATTATTAGGATATGGAGCAAAATATCATCTAATTTTACAAAAAACAAAAAAACTTGTAGACTCGATGCCTAGGCGGATGCAAGCTGTAATAGATGCAGCAAATGGACCCACGGCCTATTAAATTAATAAAAACAAAAGTTATAAAATAATATTTATATATATATATATATAAATTATAAATAAAATTGTTATTTTCGAAGGATTGTATACTCAATTTTGTGACCTGAGTTTGTCAATAATTATAGTTTTTTGTTTAAGTTTTGCTTAATGTTAAATAAATTAATTATTTTATGTTCAAATTTAGTCGGTTAGAGTTCAAACTTTAAACATGCATAAAAAAATCAAATATATCCATTAAATTTTCCATAGCTTGTGTATGCCTTCTACAAACTTATGTGTATATTAATTTTTATGAGTAACTATAACTACTTTCGCTTAATAAAAAACGCGAGAAAAGTATTAATTTTTGTCTCCTCTTTCTCCTGTTGAGTGCATTTGGGGCGGTTGACATCCCTCTGTATTACTTTATGTAATTTGTGGGAGTAATACGGATGAGTATTTGTTTGGATTAAAGATCCCGGCCACCTTGCAGAATCTACGAAATAATTGTGTAACATATTGATTGAAATATTTGAAATTAATTAAAGTAATTGCCCATTTTATTCCAGTGTTAAAGCGTCTCAAAATAAGCGATTTTTATAACATTTTCCATGGTGGCCAGATGGAACAAAATAAGAATTTTTGGGCATTTAAATTAAAATACCCAACTTTATTACGATTGCAAATTATTATATTATATATTGGACTTTTATTATATGGCAGAACTATTTAAATATTTTTATGCTATGTTAAAATAACAGACATTTGAACATTCAATACTTAATTAAGCTTGTTAGCTCTCAATCATCACATGCCAAAATATTTTATTAAATACATTTAAATTTCATGTTTTCTTTAATTATCGTTGTTTCGCATTTTATGTAGTGGTCTAGAGCGAGGCAACAAACCCCTCCGTTTACATATTTGACAGCTGATCGAGTTCAGGAGGTTTTGACGCTTAGCAATTGTTCTCTCACTTTCAATGGGAGAGGAGTTGGACATTTTTTTATCTCTGGTTATATAGTGCCAGTCAGGGTCCAGCCAAATGCTGTATTCTGCGCTACCACAGTACCATTCTCTGGTTTGAAGAGTCCACTTCTGGTAATGTGTGGGTAGATATCCGCTCCTATATCCAACGTTCGCTATTCATTGATATGGGAACAGCGGGGACTAAATGTTCAAAACGCATTTGGACATCGTCACTTATATGTCTCGCTTATAGGGTTTCTTGGGTAACTTTTGTGTAATGATTTCGTTACATTCCAAACAAAACTTCTTATCATTATTTGAGTTAATTTTTATGCTACAAATACGATAAGTATTGAGATATGTGACTGGCAGTTTGAATTTTTTTACGAGTTCGGCCGCTATGTTCCTAATTTTAAGGGTAGGGTTTAAAATGGCTCGAACTTTATGCCAACGCATCACAAACGGATCTTCGTTGTTGGTATAAGGGTCTGCTTAGCCAGTAAGGATGGTAGTTGGGTCTCTATCGCAAGCGGTTTCTCAATACCATTTGCATCTTTGGTCGGATATAACCTCGGATGTCCGTGTAGGAATCAATGGTGTTTCCCATGACAAACGGAACATTGATTTGTGCTTGTACATCCTTCTATCTTGTGCGACCTGGCTAAGTAATTGGCACAATAGTGGTGTTTTATTACTTCTTCGTATTTTTTGCTTATGTTGTATGATGAGTACGTAGCGCAAGTTCCTAGACAATGGTTTTGCGTATTCCGCAAGCAACATGACGATGTGACGTATTTTTCATTACATACCTTTTACTCACGAATAGTGGGAAGGGTCGAATGCGTCGTGACATCGTTTGGTCTTCTGAACTCGACGTAATGCAACGGGTTGCGCTACGGCACCGGATGGTAATTTTTGAGCTCGTACGATGAGGTCTGGGTCAGTTGCTGATTGTTGGAGCCATTTCACTAAAAAGAAAAAAAAAACTTTTAAGTTATTCTGTTCTTAATATCACAATTTTGGTAATGGCACGCGTTACTGGGCCTTGAGCAGTTCAGATTTCAACCACTCGTGTTTTATTATCTAAGCCGGAGAAGACCGTTTGGATTCGATCGAGCTTCCATTCGTTTCGTAAAAAGCCTTCGTTTCTTATAACGACTAAGTAATTAACTTCAACATTACGTTGTGGATATTTCCATTTGTGTCGTTTATGTTGCTCCCTAAGGTACTCTTCCTTCCATCTCTTAAAAATGTGCTGGTAAAGTATTTTTAATTTCTGTCATCCTCTAAAATTAGTTCGGCAGGGGTTAACAATGGGGTACCTATAAGGAAGTATAGTGGAGTTAAAGGTTCCAAGTTTGTTGAGTCGTCGCTTATGGGGCTTATTGGCCGAGAGTTTAAATAACTTTCGATGCGGATCAATAAGGTAACAAATTTCTCAAATGCGAATTTTTGTAGTTTTGTGATCTTTTTTAGATGGGATTTTAGACTTTTTACGCCTGCTTCCCATAATCAACTAATATGTTGAGCTCCTGGTAGATTGAAGTGCCTTGAGATATTTTGAAGGCTATGGAGGGATATAGTTTGAGTTCGAAGTGTCCGTAGGAATTAGCAACTGTAAAGCTCCTATAAAGTTCGTTCCGTTATCGGAATAAAGATTGGCGGAGCATCCACGCCTCGAGAAGAAAGAGGAGAATGCTGCTAGAAAGGCTTGCGTAGTGAGATCGCTAACGTGTTCGAGATATATTGCTTTAGTTGAGAAGCATACAAATACACCTATATATCCTCTGGTTGTTATACATGTTTTCCCAGTGCAGCTTTTGATGTCATAGGGTCCAGCAAAGTCGCTACCAGTGGCAGCAAATGGACGGGTAGGATAGTTCTTTCATTTGGATGTGCTGAAATTATTTGGGTTTGTTGAGCCTTATTATGTATGATGCACGTTTTGCAATGATGAATTATTTATTTAATCAGCATCTTTCGTTTGGGTATCCAGAATTCTTTAAATTTCTTAGGAGTCTAAGAACTAGCTGATTTCCACCATGTAATGTGGCTAAATAGGTAAATTGAGTTAGTAATTTTGACATACGACTATCATAGGGTAATAAGATAGAGTGACGTTCAATATATGATATTGCTGCGGAATTGGTTAATCTTCCGTCACTTCGCACAACTCCTTTATTGTCAATGAAAGGATTTAAAGTCAATAATGAACTTTTCTTGTGTATTTGGGTCTTACGGGTTAAGGCATCATATTATTCCCGGAAATGTGTTTTTTGGGTGTGAATAATTAACATCATTTGTGCTGTTTTGAATTATTCCGGGGTTATTTCGTGGTTTGAGTAATCAGGTAAGCGATAACGCTCCGGGGAATGAGAAAAACCTTTCGAGTATATCTTCTTGGGTTGTCATCGCAAACGTCTTAACGGGTTTGAATTCCACGGTAGTGTTGTATGTTTTATCCGTTGCTGGAAAATGCTCCTTTTCATGTTGTAGCCATTGGTGTTCATGCCAGCAGAGGTTGCAATTCAATAGATCGGTGGGTGTATGTCCTCGACATGGCAAGTCTGCGGGATTATCTTGACTTTCTACCAATGAAAGTGGTCCATGAACATGGTGGGTTGTTTAACAAATTGAGAACTATGGTGATCAGTCCAAAAATTTTTATGGGAGCAACTATTGTTTTTGACACTAAGAGAGTTGTCCATATTTTATGCCCAACTAAAACCCATTCTTAAAGTGTCGTGGCATATGCCTTTTCTGAAGCATCAGAAAAACAGTAGAATTCGATGTTGGCTGTTGGGCTCAAATGGGCCCAGCTAGGTATTTTCAATTTTGTTTTCCCGATCCTGACGGAGATTTTGGTGTTGCTCAACGTCAGTTTACACAGCCGTATTAGTTTTGCGGGGATACCAAATTCTGACATCGCGGCATAAAGGTAGCTCTTTTTCATGTTGTCGAAAGCAGCTTTGAAATCTACGAAGAGGTGGTGTATGTCGATTCTCCTTTCATGGGTCTTTTCCCAGATTTAGCGCATGGTGAATATCTGGTCGGTTGTTGATTTTCCAGGTCTAAAGCCACACTGATAAGATCCAATCAGTTTGTTGACGGTAGGCTTTAATCTTTCAACCAATATGCTCGATAGAACCTTCTACGCGATGTTGAGGAGGCTTATCCCACGGTAGTTGGCGCAGATTGTGGGGTCTCCCTTTTTGTGGATTGGGCAGAGCACACTTAAATTCCAATCATTGGGCATGTTTTCGAGCGTTTCGGCTCGGCCGTCAATCCGTCGGTTCCGACGCTTCGTTGTTGTTGTTGGTATAGGCATATACATACGTATATACATATGTGTGCGCATGAATATATATATGTATAAATTTTTAATTTTATCATACAAATTCGCAATATCCAGCTTGTTGCAATATTGGTTGATCAGTTGCAATTGTAGTGATTGCTGGAAAATTTATGATACGTAAAATAAAAGTTTCCGGTATTTTGAAAGAAATTACGTTAACTGTTTTAGTGGCAAAGATCCGCCAATTCAAGCTGTTGCTGCTGTTTGACAGACAGTACCAATATATGTGTGTATTTTGAAACTCTCTCTCTCGCATGACATCTTAGTCTAAGTATATATATCATCATCTATATATGTACATATTTAAACGAAAGTCTGTTGATTAACCTATCTATAACTCAAGAAAGGCTTTTTCTGAAAATTGGAGAGGAGGTGGCTTAGAACCAAGGGAATTTAATACAATTCATAAATACAAAAAATATATTTTAAATCATAACCATTTGTTCAAAATGAATGTTTCTAACAGTCTATTATTTCTCTGAGGTGCTTATCAATTTTCTGCCTCTCGCTAAGCATTATTCTTGTGCGCATAATTTCAAAGTTGTGACGACACACGTGCTACTTCACTACAATGTCCCCTGGGACACCAAATTTGGGGAACAATATGTTCGCTTTGTTAGCTGAATGTCCAAAAGCCAAAAGAAAAACAAAAAAAAACAACACATTACATAAATCATAATTATTTGCCGAATTACCGAAAACCAAACACAACAATCCAAAATTTAACACTATATCAGCAATTAAATGATTCAACCTAACCAATGTCGAAATACTCCTGTTTTGCAGTTCAAAAAGCTGTAAGCAAAGAAATAATTTCCGTTTCCGAGTTACGAGATGGTCATTTTTTGTTACTAGTGAAAACTCCAATAATTGCAAAAAATTTCTTGGCTACAAAACGATTGAATGGAATATTTGAAGTGAAAGTAAATTTTCAAGATAATCTTAACTTTTCCATATGTACAATACTCACATGATGTCTCAATAATGTCCCTGATGATGAAATATAGAAACCATTAAAGAATAAGGTGTACAAGGTACACTCCAACTGTATACATAAGTTCTAAAAACGGTCGGTGTGTACTAAGGTGTTGTCGATTACTTAAATAATAATGTTGTTTAAAACATTTGTAATGCAAGGTGCGTTCCAAAGTAAACAAGACATTTTGAATCTAGCGCCCTTGGTGGAGCCATCTATATGTCGACTGGTGCGTTAGAATCTCGATCGATCGATTTATCGATTGTCCAGTGAGAATTTCATGACATTATTGAGTTGAAGTTATTGCTTTTTAAGTGTCAGTATGTTTGTGTTATCGGTGCGAAAATGAGCTTCGAACAAAGATACAAC